TCCAACCATACGAGTATCCCGCCAAGTATCCCACCAGAGCAGCCCGCCAGTGGATCTCGCCGAGTATCCTGCTGAGTATCCCAGAGTAGCTCGCCAGTGGACCCGCCAAGTATCCGGCTGAGTTTCCCTTGCCGGCGGATCCTGCCGAGTACCCGTCCAGTATCGAGAAGGAGCGGCTCGCCAGTATTCGTCAGTGGATGACGCCAGTATCCCGCCAGAGCAGCTCGCCAGTCTGGTTTTGCTTAATGTCCCGCCCGGCGCACAGTTGGGTTTACCTTTCATGTTGGTGCCTTCGTGTTTTGAGTGTACCCTGAGGCTCGGAAAGGGTGATGCTTTTGTGTTGCTTTGGGTTGTGAATAAGCCACTTCGTTTAATCCCCGTCGAGTGTGGAGGGTGGGGATTGCTCGAAGCGAAGTAATTTTTCCGAGGCTGCAGCTGATTCGATTCAGTACTACCGTAGTTTTTGTTGCTGGTTGTTGGCAGCCTATTTCGGATATTGTTGTTCATGTGTTTGTTTTAATCATTGCTCGAGCATTGCAGTATAGGTTTCTGTCTAGTCAAGGGTTTCATCAAATCCTTTTGTTAGGGTCCCTCAGCATGGTTTCGGCAGTTCGTTCTCCGTTCAGTACCGCATATGGGTGTTGCCGCTACGCCGGTGGCGTACGCTGTGCACAGCCTAGGCCCTAGGTCACTCCTGCAGCAGCAAAGGCTCCCGACTCAAACCATCAACCTGGACCAGATACGGTCGCCGTGCCACACATCATTTCAAGTAGAGTGAAGTCCAAGTTATGTTTGAAGTTGCGCAACGCGTTACAGGACAAATCGCAAGGAGCTGTCAACAATTGAGGCCCTGTGATGTTGGGACTTGTCCGCACGTCATGTTTTTTGCCTTCCCCTATGTGTCCAAGTACGGTCTAGGGAGGTACTTTCAACACTCCAAAATCCTCAAAGGGTTTCTTTTGAATGTCCATGGCTCAACAAATAGGTGCTCAAGAATCAGTTTTCCCAAGATTCTAGGGGTTGATTCCCCATTCTTTTCAGCCATCGTTCTGTTCAAACACCAGCCATTTCCCCAGGGCGTTTGGTGGTTTTCCAGACCTGGAAAGAATGGAAATGGAAGTTAGCCCTAGAAAGATAGGCTCCCCCAGTTCCCGAACTTGGTCCTCAAAATGAGTGGCCCAACGAAGGGCTGAGGGCTTCCTTTTCACAGCCAAGCCTCTTGGCTTGGCTGTGACTCTCCCAGGAATTCGGCAGGAGCTGGGCAGGCAGGCGGCATTGTCGAAAGCTGCCGGCTGAATCCATCAGAGAAGCAAGTCCGAACTGAACTGGGCCACCAACTGCAGCAAACAAATCACCATGACGCAAGAAAGGGTAGCAACCCTGTTGCCTTAGGCAAGCAGGACATTGGTGCTGGGTCGGTTTGCCTGAAAAATCAAAGAAGCCAGCATAACGACTGTTTTGGGCTTTTTGGCTAGGGTTCTTATCTATTCTTGTGCTAAGAAGATGCCCACGTCCCGACTTAGCAACAGGTGGGCGGCCGCTCAACGGAAGGCGTGGAGATCTTGGGGCAGACGCCTTGGGTCGAGCGCTCCCTTAAGGACCAGAGGATTGAACCAGCGGGGCTTTCCCCGTGGGACGCAACGACAGCTCAACGCATATATCTGCGATCCCCATTAAGGCGCCCTGAAAAAACATCTTAGGAGCAAATACAACTGCAGGTGCCCCATTTCATTGGGCCCCAAAGGGCTTTTGGAGGTTTCCCTCCGAAAGTTGCGGGACTTTGGCTTCAGGGTCATCAATAGCATCATTGCTCCAAGGGACGAATTGCTTGGCAACTGGCAGGTGGCCAGACACTCGCAAACCAATGAACTTAGTTTGCACTTGCCCATTGACAGCAATCAGCCATGAGCACGCAGAAAAACGCGCACGCGCGCACGCAGGCACGCGTCTCTTGGGACTCCCTGGTTGAGGTGCGTCCTCGTATTTCATTGCATCATGCATCACATCTGTTTGGGCTTTGAGATGGGCGTCACCACTGTCACTGGGAAACCAGACATGAATGGCTTGCCTTGTCGCCAGCCCAACAAGATCGACCATGGCAGTGCCCGTGCAAGTGGGGAGGTGTTGGAGGAACGTGGGCTCACCTCGCAATTCCGCACAGCAGGCGGTCAATTACAAGGTGCTTTTCCTGAGGATGGATGATTCTGGAAAGTAAGCCCCCCACTTTCCTTTCAACTAGTTTTTCAATTCCAGCCGACTTTCACTCACACGTCCAGATGTGGCCGTAGGTCAATGGTACCATTTTGGGATAGGTGACCCATTTTAGTCTATTTTAGTGGGGATTGGGATGTTCACTGCGGGGGTACGGGGTTTTGACCCATGGCCATGTAGCTTGCGAGCCGCTCCTCTTGCAGGCGAAGGAGCAGGATGTCCCGCAGGCAGGGCACTGGGCTCAAGCTGGCCTGGGCATTCAGGCATTCGGCGTCGGGTTTGGAAACCCCTCCATTTGGGGCTGGTCAGGTTTCCCTTCAACATGGGCCGGGATGTTCAGAAAGGAAGGGGCTAATGATGAAGTTGCTGGTTTGCTTTTGGTCCCCTTTAGCATTGCGGACATGCATGGGCATCACCGGAAAAAGGAAGGACGCCGGCGAGAATTGGTCTGAGAAATGCGCCGTGAAGGCAGATTGGACATGTGGACGTGGCAGCTCGACCAATTGTTTTGGCCTGAATGGTTGACCAAAGTCAGAAAGGCAGCTGCCTGACGCGCAAACTAGGAGGGCCAAGAAACCCCTCCGACAGTCGTGTGCAGTGGCAGCCACCTCCTTCAATGCATGCCTGGTGAGCACCTTGCAAGATCACGCTTTTTGCAGGCTGCAAAGAACGCGCCCCCTGGCCCACTTTTGCACAAACGAGCTAACTAGTACGCAAAATTGCCAAAGGTGGGAAAAGAAGCCCAGGGGTGCAGAGCTACAATTGCAGTGGGATCAAGTTGGGGCGGTTCCAAGGATGTTGCTGCTTTCTGACTGCCTTTTGATTGATGTAGACATTGGCGTTGTTTGCTCTATCAATTGGAAGGCCAACTTGGTGCCCATCACTTCCGAACAAAAACCGTGCAGTGGTGAAACTGCAGGAGATCGTCCAAGCTGCAGAATGGCTGCGGTCGGCCAGGAGCTTACTCAGCTGTCAATTGCAGGATATTTGCGGATTTGCAGGTCATGCTCTTGATGGTGACTGCTTTTCTATTTTTTTCTGGGGGGCCAGCTTTTAGTGCCAGCTTGAAATGCACCGGGGGGAGGGCGGATAGCCCCACTCTTGAACCCCACCGCTCTTGAATAAGGGGCATCCAACATGTACAAACTCTGGCTTTGCACCAGGCCGAAACGTAAATGCACTTAGGCGACAGGGGCCTCGCAACACAGTGAATTCTTCACAACGCATCGCGGTAAATCCATGAGGCACCGGCACCCTCAACGCTTGCCAGGCATGTGTAGGATCAGGGCAACAGGAGCTCCAGGCGGCAGATGGGTGAGCATGTCAGGCTACAGGTTACTGGGTTGCCCATGATATGATATACTGAATATATGATATATTGAATATGTGCTATATATATATATATACACAACTTGGTTTTCTTTATACCTTGTAAAAAATCATATATTCCTGTCTGTACGAAGATCTTCATGTAACTTCAATTGTGTGCAATGTGTTGGTTGTGTGCGGGCGTGGGCGAGGGGGGGGGGGGGCAGGGCAGGCCAAAAATGCATTCTGGCACAAAACTAGGAGACCACCATGAGTTGTTCGCCGAGGCCGACGCGATGATCATCTCGTCCGGTGCTGGTTTGAGTGACGCACTAAGCGGGCACATGTTGCAGCAACAAGTTGAAAGGGCCGTAGCCCTCAGCAGCAACGCACAAACAGACACCTGTACAAGTGGAAAACATGGAGCCCTGTAAAATTAACAAGACCCTGCACCGGCGGGCCGGATGGGTTTGTTCCGCGTGCAGCAGGCCAGTTGCAGGGCGTGGCCATGGTGGGTCCACCACCAACAGGTCCCAATGTCGTTTTACTAGACTGCGAGATTGAGTTGGTTTATTCCGTTCCATCAGGCGCGTCATCAATGAATACATGTGCTGCTGCGTTGCTGGGGTCACCCGGTTTTTTGCGGGAAAAATACGTTCCGTCCGCCTAGACTAAAAATATGAGTGTTTTCACCTTGGAAATTCAGACACAAAAAACTACAAACGAAAACACAACACTACAGTTGGGTGGCCATGTTTCTTGGGTTGGATCTTTAGATTTTTCAATTTTTGGGTTGAAATCAAGTTGGGTTTTCCACTAAACCCACAAAAACATTTTTTTTTGCAGGGGGGTCAACGGCAACCCAGTCGGATCTTTTCCTCGAGGCGACTTCGGAGGTTTGCCCACCTTCCAGGGCCCCAGATCCTGGCACGCGCGGGCGCTCGGAGAATCGGGCGCTGGTTTGGGACCATTTTCCTCGAGGCTCCTGGCAAGTATCAACAAGCAATGGCCCCCGTGGTTTCCAAGTGGCGCGATTTCTGGATCTCGCAAGCGTCTGCCATATTCGCTTGGTGGCCTGAATTTTTCAGGTCCCCGATTGATTTAGGGCCTTCAACACAACCTGGTTTTGAGACCCCCAACCACCTCCGGGGTGTCTAATGGAGGGGTCAGGTCTTCCATTGAAAGCCCGAAGAGCCTCTGGAAAAAAGGGTCCCGAAGGTCGGTTTAGTGAAAGTTGGTAGGGTAAGTACAGACGGCTGCGAACTCCAGAAATCGCACCAGACGAAACGGGTGAAGTCATTGATTGGTTACAAGGCAATCATCAGCCGGGGTTTGTGGTTTGTAATGAGACCACGTTGCATAGACCTTGTTCGTGATCCGGTTCCTGAAGGGTGTTCGGGTTTTGGGTTAATTTCCCAGAATCCAAACGTTTGGCTGGCAGGGGACCTGCGGATGGTTTTGTGAAATGCGCAAAAATCGGTTTCCGCCAGAGGAAACCGGGGGTGAAACCATGGTTTGTTGAAATCTACCTTGGGGAATCATCAGAAACCAGGATTTTTTAGGTGGTGCAGGATCTTGTCCACCCGCATGAGTTAATGTTGACCCCGGATTAATAAGCTCATCCTATTAAAAAAATGGTTTTCCCCTCCAAAGATGATGACTGGGGTTGATTAATTTGGGATTAACATTAGTTGGGATGAGTGTTGCCTTTTCTTTGGTGGTTCGTCAATGCAGTTTCAGCATTGCAAACTAAGCAGGCATCATGATGCCCTAAGTTTTCTCAGTAACCTGGACTTCACAGTTGTTTCCTTTCCCTAACCCCCATTGAGTTGTCGACGAACGTACCATCAGAAATTTGATGGCCATTCAACATATGTTTTTTTTTTTTTCTTGTTTTTTTTAATTGAATGGTGCAATGCTTAGGGTTGTGTGAGGTTGTCAGATTTGTATTTTTGTTCGGGTTTATTCTTTCTTTTAAGCAGGCGACAGCCCCCAGAGTTTGTGCTAGCTGGTTTCTGAATGAGAAGCAACAAACAGTATAAATGCTGATGACGTATTGTTTGTTGCTGCATTGGCGGGGGCAGAGAATACAGTCTGGCACAGCGGGCATGTTACTGTCTATGTATGGAGGGACTCAGGGATCAGCACCGGGCTACAGTTGCCCGATGGGGCAAACCAGCCATCGCTTGCCCATAGATAGTTACATGTCAGAAGTGACATTGGACCGTGTCATTTCAGGTGGACGCAAATCAGCTCAGGCTGTTGATGGTTTGCAGACAATGTTGTCAACTCATATTCAGGGAGCGAACAAGCTTGACCTGGATCTCCTGCAGGACATATATGAATTAGAAGTATGTGTCATGTTTTTGTTTTGTTTTGTTCATATCCATTTGTTATGGTCTTTGCATGTGTCTTGTCCCATGTATAAATCTCTTGAATTACAAATGTTCTATCATTCAAGATCATATTTAGTATGTGACAGAGAAAAAGTGAAAGGAATGGAATTCCGAACTCAAATGCAGGAGTGATATGATGGAAATGTTTGATTTATTATGTGTGTATGCGTTTTCATTTCTTTCTTTATCATTCATATGTTTATTATTTTATTTGTTTAAAACAAACAAGAAAACATGCATTGTCCTTTGTTGCATGTTTATTTGGAATCAGATCCGATTTTCGATTGCTCATCATCAATAATATTTGTATTTATGTTTCATGCAATGGTTATTTCTTGTTGATATGTTTAATAACCCCTAGACATTTCCACTTTGCATTTCTTTCTTCAGTTCATTATCTCTTTGTCATTGCAATTCGATTGTCCTGGATCTTACGAACATGAAATTATGGAAAAAAAATAATAAAGAGAACCATGACAGTGTCCAAATATTTGAGTCGTACTGTGGATGGACGAAGTCCTGCGCCGCCTAAGAAACCCCGGAATGATGATTCCCCGCTACATACCAACAAACAATGGTTTCAACCATGTTTTCCATTTGGTGCGAAATGGATTTTGTCCATCCACAGTATTTGTGCCGCGGAAAATGGTGGGCCTCTCCGTCACCTTCCATCTCCCAGCTACCCATCCCTCACGGTCTAATTCATCAGCTGGGGATGGGAAGGGATAGGACGTATGGAGGAGATTGGCGAAGGAGTCTCTTCTCCGTTGGTCTCTGTCTCTTTGTCTCTTCATCCTTCTCCTTTCGTTCCTGTTTTCCATAGCATAATCTTCAAGAGACATTGTGACAAATGGCCTTGTTTGGGCCAGTGGCCTTTGTGGCTAGCCTTTGTCCAACTCAAAGCAAACCAACATTTTGGATTTCATGCTTTTCGAGGGATCGTTTTTGGCTCCCCCCACAAGAAAGAGGCAAGCAAACTGGTCAATGAGCCAGCTGGGGTTGCAGCAGTTTAGCAGCATAGGTGTGTCTTTTTTAGTTTAGTTTGGCTAGCAATAGGCTGGTTTACATGGGTTTGATCTTATTCCATTTCTTCCTTCATCAGCCTGTGCTGCGCTCAGTACTTTGCCGGGCTGCCCTTGGAGGAGGTACTTTGTGCCGGATGCTTCCAAGAGGCCGGCGAAGATTCGCCTTCACTCGCGCCTCTTTGGCCATAGGAACATTTCTTGCTGGTGCTGAGGAGGGAATCAGGGAAGAACCCCAAGAAACAATCTCTTGTGTCTTGCTTCTAGGGAATCCCTAGGTTCATTACTGAGTACCAGCAAGATTTGTTGGGTTTCAGGGTTCTCGCGGTTTCGCTTTTCAACAAATCCAAATATCATCCAACCAAAGGGAAACTTCACGTTGACGTCAAGAACAGGAAGTATAGCACTGCGGCTACAGTGCGTGTCAGTTCAGTTTCTTAGTTGTATTAGTGTGAGTTGTGAGTAATTCAATATGTCAGCTTCACGGGAATGGTGGTGTTTGCTTTCACATGCTACAATGCCCGACAACGGCAAGGTTCTTTTGTGGCTATGTACATATATATATATATATAGAGATTATACAATTACCCGCAACCTATAGGATATTTTTCTTGAAGGTTTGTTTGGATCCGATTTTGTTGACCAGTGAAACGTGCCACTGACTTGAACCTGCATGTGGGGGGCGGGGGGGGGGGGGGGTATGCAACTGTGAAGACCGTCCATGACAAGTTTATCAAGTAGTTGACATAGCACGCAAATCACAGTTTTCGGCTTGCACCCGAGCGAACATGTGATGTTTGATGCACCATGATGGCTTTGCCAGTTTCACCATTATTCTTGTTTGACGCCTTTGCTCCATGACCAAATTGTGTTTATTCCAATGAGAAGCAAGGTTGAACTGTTTGGATGAATCCCTGTTTTGCCTTGCTGGCATAAATCCGCTCGTTTCGTTTGGGTCCGGTTATTTTGATATGGCCAACCGGGTGATGAGTGTCACTTGTGTTTCATCGAGGGGCAGGTGGTTTTCAAACCTCCGCCGTGTTTGGCTGCCGGGGCCGCTAGGCCCGAGAATTCCAGCCGTCTGACGAATCCAGGCCCAAAAAGGGATCAGCTCAGAAGTGGCACAATTTTCCATGGCTGAGTCATTCCCGCTTGCTTCACATGAACGAAATGCCGGAGTCTACTTTCACCGCAGGCCTCTGACTCCAGCGGCCTCAAGGCGCAGTTTTTATTTTTCACCAGAGGCGCTAGTGGCAAAGGGCCCCCAACAAATTCGCGGAGTCGGGCCCCCAACAAATTGCCCAATGTCAGGACACCACCGGGTTCCTGGAGCCATGCCTCGAGTTGAATCAAAACTCCCAGAGCCATGTTGACGTGTTGATCTTGGTTCATAACTGAGCGCTCGTGCGCATAATGGCAGTTTACCGGCAAATGGTGATAGCTTTAAGCGCTTCTTGGCTGGTTCGCTTGGTCAAGTCGTTGGGGGACTCAGACTCCGGGTGGGAACCTTCGACCACTGGTCAGCGGGGCAAACCCAAACCTGGAGAATTGAAAGTGAGTAGGGCGCATCGTGCATTGGAAGTAGGAGCTTCCGCCCTTGTATTTCCTGGCATGTGGGTTTGTGATTGACTTGTGTTCCTGCCAGTTTTAGGTTGTGAGTTGTACGGCTTTGAATGTGCAAGAGAACGCCCTTAAACAAATTCTTGGTAGACATGAACTGCCATGCAATGTAAATGATGTTCACCAACGAGTCCCGTAAATTTCATACTCCCTGGGTTTCACAGAACTGCGGGAAGGGGAAGAGAGCGAGTCTTCGGTAGCCACCAAACCACCAATCCAAACAACCACTTTGAGAGAACTGATGTGGCCTGGGTTCAACAAGGGGTGTGCCAGAAATGCAAGGACCCCCGTTTTGGATGGCCCCCTTTAAGGAGAAGCAGAAAGGAACACACCCATTGTGAGTGCTTTGGAAAACAACTCCAATGCCCTTGATGTACCAAGTTGCTCAGTGGCATTTGTTCTTGGTGGGAAGGGCTCCCCTTTAAACTCAACCAAAAAAGGATGTCGAACTGCCGGCGTCGTTTTGCATAGGACGCCAGGCTGGCCTGGGCACTTTGGGGTACGCTGCTGAGGAGCGGCTGGGGGGTGGGGGGGTGGGTCAGGCATTGAGCAAATGGTTGGGGCAATGGAAATGTGTTACCGTATTTAATTTTGTTTGCCCTCAGGATTGTGTAGACGAGGAAGGAGGGACGGAGGAGGGAGAGGGAGGAGGAGGAGGAGTGGAGGAGGAGGGAGGAGGAGGGAGGAGGAGGGAGGAGGAAGGAGGAGGATGAGGAGGGAGGAGGGAGGAGGAAGGAGAAGGGGCGAGGGGGAGGGGGGAAGGCGCTGAACATGTACGATTCCCTGAAGAAACAAAACAAAGTTACAAAGCACACAAAGCAACAAACACACAAGCAAACACACACCCAATCCCAGGGTCGTTTTCTTGTTGCAATTCTGTATATGTTGTGTTGTTGTTTTTTGTTTCAATTATTTGTGGCTGGGTCTTTGGCTAGCTTGCTTCTACACAACCTTAGGACCATTGTTTGGCAAGCTGCACATTTGGCGGTCCGCGCGTGTCAGTCACAGGGTCCATTTCAAGGGCTCAAATCACAAGCTGAGGTGTTGAGCATAGGTGTCCGCCGAGCCTCGCTACTGTGGATGGACGAATTCCAACACCACCAAAGGCACTCCGCAATGGTTTCCCCCGTAAGTGCAAATAAACACTGCTTTCCCATGGCTTCCAATGTCCAAGTGGTGCGACGTGGATGGCGCAACCATGCACAGCATGGCAAGTTCAGTTGAGTCACAATCAAAACCCGGGTAGATGAAGGTTAGTAAGGGACGGTCTTAACCATAAATAGCTGCGGCCGCCTTGTTAATTCGTTACACGGTTCCGGGTGAACGATTTGTCTACCGGGTTTTGATTATGACTCAGTTGGCCATGGGCCAGGATCTACGGCGATGTGCCTCCGGCGGCCTTCAAGCCGTACAAGCAGGTGGGGGAAAGGAGAGTCGAAGGCGAGCAGTGAGAGACGTCACCCCCTCGTTAAAATTTGCGGAGGGGCGCTCCACGTGTTTTTTAGGGGGGCCTTTTGATATATGACATGGAGATTTCGTGTACCACCAGTGGCTGATGGTATATATGGACAGACTTGAGTTTTCCCTGTCACTCAATCTGTTGATTGTTTGGAGCAGGTGTCATCCCTAAATGACATTATTGCAGATTGTCCACATGGTTCCCTTCTTCCCAGTTGGCACTGATTATGATCAACAGTTCGCACCGACCCTTTTCTTAACCTTGTCACAGCCATTGGGCCAAATTGGGCAACTGTTCACCCGTTTCAAGGTTGACGTACACTTTTTGTTTCAGTCGTTCCGCCCAATGTTTTTGTCCTTCGATGTGAGTGGTACCCTCCAGTATAATTTGGCATATGTCCAATCTCCAGGTTGCATCGATTCTTAACTGATCTAGACCTGTTGGCCAAGGCAAGGGTTTTATGGGAGGCTATCGTATGCCCCTTGTTTCCTTCTAAGAAAGCTTTGGTGAATTTTGCTTGGATGTTAGGACGTTAACTTTTTGCCAACTCATGGGTTTTCCATTAAACCACTAAAAGTTAAGCTTTTAGCAGGGGAGCAGAAAGAACCGAGAAAAGGTGGCCTTTTCTTCCCATGGCTTTGGTTCTTTCTATGGTCCCCTGGTTTTTGTCCCGCCGACTCGCCAGGTGGAGAACTACGCGAAGCGGGCGCCCCTGGGCGCCTACTGCATCACTAGCGCTGCCGGAGCGCCCAAGATGACCCAAGATGATACCAAGAAACCAACATTTACAGGCAGTTTGCTAGCTGTTTTTTGCTGGGTGTTGTTTGCGCCCACTGCAGGTGCAGAAACCGAGTCAACTTGATTCCCCCACACTTAGAGACAAACCCATGTTTCCAGTCAACGGCTTTGCTCGGTGTTTGTAGCAAAGATCATTACAGAGGTTCGCTGAAAACATTGTGTTTGGATGTGTGTGTTTGGTGGGCCTTTGTCGAATTCTTGGTTGCTTAGCGAGACTGTTCCTCGGCTCGTAGCGGGACATGTTAAGCTGCGAATTGTGAACGTTTGTAACACAAAATATTTGTCCATGGCGAGAAACGGCACAGGAAACCATTTGCGGAGCATTTTTTCGAACATTTCGTGGTCTGGTTGTGGTCAGCTCGCCTTGTTGGGGCCTGAGACAAAACACAACATCCAGTCCCATAGGTGGGCGTTGCGACTGCTCGAAAGGCGGTGAGAGACGCACCGCCCCTCCCCCATTGTTGACAGCCCTATGCCTACCTGGAGTCTCCATGACCCTTCAAACTTGGGGTCATGGAGACTCTAGGTAGTAGCTTTCATTTGGACAGGCGTGGATTCTACCTGCCATTGAGTTGGCTTTGTACGTGAGGGAGGTGTGGTGTTTGGAGATTCTTCACTATCTTTAAGACAAGTCGAGGGATTTGAGCGGAACCGGCACGCTTTCAGGTGGATGGCTTGTGGCTTCAGCTAGGCGCGAGGGTGCCGCTGCTGCAATCGGAAGTTGGTTGGAGGAGATTAGACACGCGCACTACCGGGTGTTGTTACATGTTATGTTTTGCTTTTGTTCCTTTCGCATTGTCAGTTGGATCTGCAGCGTTTTCGAGGAGCGTTTTGATGCCGGCGACGCATGACTTGAGCCGATTGTTGCTTCAGAGTCTTTGTGTGCACGGGAAATTCTGGCAGCTGCATACATGCCTTTGCCCCGAATGTAAATCCGGCCAGACAACTCGAACATATTGTTGGGCCACAAAACACAAGCAATTCGAAATGCCCCTTAGGCTTCTCGGCCAGACTGCCAAATGCTGGTTGGACTGGTCCGATTGAGTTGATCTACTGTGTACTTGTGTTGCTTGAGCTTCCCCAAGTTCACCCACAGTTTTCTTCATCAAATTGTTTCTGAAAGACCCAGAGGGAGCATGATGGTTTTTGCCCTCCCAAGCTGTTGGGCATGAGGGTGCCCTCTGGAACTAGATCAACAGTTGACCCTTAGGTAACGCCAGGCTTGGGTTGAAGTCTGGTTGGGGCAACAGGCCACCGTTTGTGGGGGTTTCCCCTCAGGCATGAGGATGAAGCGCAAGCGGAGTGAGTTTCTGACCGCACCAGCCCGACGAGATGCCCAAACGCCGATCCAGAAGTGCTCCCTCGAAGGTCCCGGAGTCTCCATGTCCCAAACATGGGGTCGGTCAAGTTACCCACGTTTCCCCCACTTTGGAGGGGCGGGAGCCAGGGAGACTCCTCTAAAGGTTAGCTTCGCAGGCTGGCCGCAGTCGGCGCTGCTGGAGCTGCACGGCAAGAAAGGCTCGTAAGCAGAGCGGGTGCGGTGGGTGCCAGGAATGGGTTTGTCTCAACTAGGTCCCCCAGTAGTGCCCTTTTACCCCTTTTTTGGGGGAGGGTTCCCTTACTAAATAGACTACAGAAACACAGGGTACCCTTATTCTAACCTCTCTACTGGAGGACCTAGTCAAGAAAGAGGAGCCCACCAAACAATCGCTTCTAAGCTTTCCGATGAGCTTCTCAAGAGGGTGGCTTCGACCACGGATGTGCGGCTGACCGTTGTTCACCCTTGTTGATTTCAGATTTTGATTTAACACCCCGCCTATCGATCTGAATGGCAGTCTTGGGTTTTCATCATATTGAGCCAGTGCAGCAAAGTCGAGGTAGCTTTGGGGATTCGCCGGAAGAAACATTGCCAGACTTTGGCCGCTGCCCCGGCCATTGCATTTGGATGGTTGTGCCCGAAAATACTAGTAGTTGTTTCACGAAGCACCGCAACACAAATGGGTGGCTTTTCTTGTGGTTTCAGTTGAAGTGAAGCTGTAAACCCTAAACCCTCCAAAAGACAAAACACACACACAAACAAATAAACAAACAAACAAACAAACAAACAAACAAACAAACAAACAAACAAACAAACAAACAAACACACACAACACCACCATCCCCACTTGACTTGTTTCGCACTCAATGATCAATGATCACCTTGGGCAGTGGACCAAGGTGCCTTTGAGTCCCTTCCTGCCTTTAGGGCACAAGCCAAGGGGCAAATTGGGTAGCAACAGTTTGAATCACCGTATTTTAGATCACAAACTATACCCCCTACTCAAAATATTCCCGCCTTTTTCGGGAGAACCTGGTTTTCCATAGTACTACCAAACCTTTTTAAGGTAGAGGGTCGACATGATACCGACCGAACAAAAGGCCGGGTAGTTGCGCCGCATTTCATGGAGCACGACCGCCATCGGGAGCGCGCCATTGCGGCGAGGCTTTTTGATGTGCTCCAACTGCAATCGGAAGCCTTGGCCGGGGCCAAGCTACTTGGGACCGGAGCCTCAGACCTTGGGAGAGAGTCTGGGTCAGGGGTGTGTGAGCCGGGGAAGGTGGGGCGGGGGGGAAACCTAAAAGAGCTGTTTGCGCTGGTGAATGTAAGGTGGGGAGATGCTGACCAAGCCTTCCAACTCAAGCTTGGTATGTTCTTGCGGGTTTTTAAGCAGCTTTGCAACACCTTTCGAACGATTCCTAGCGTTCCTGTCGAGAAGCTAACAATTGCAGGTTTGCCCACGCAGCTGCTAGGGCCGATCAAGTAGATTGGATGGGCGGTTTGGTTATTTGATGTTGCGATTGGCAAACACACATTTTTGGGGTGTCTCGGAAGCAGAACTGATGAATCTAGATGCTCCACAGGTTTTGAAAGAATTTAGGCAACCCAATAATCTTCCAGCCGAATTATTTCTAGAAGGCTTGTTGGTGTTTCCTGACCATTGACAAGCTCATCCTCAGACGTTCTTGCACTTTTGGGGATGGATTTGCACACCTTTTTCCAACAAGAAGCTTGTGGATCACCTTCGGGTGTGCAGGGACGAGTATGTCTTTGTTTGTTGGATTCCAGAACATCCCAAGGACATCAAGAGTTGTTTTCACATCGAATTGGACCTCGAACACTGCATGATATTATGATTGACAATCCTGGTGTTGGTTCTAAATTCCTGCTTGCTAGTCAAGTCTCAGACCGTGGCACTAGCGTTGCCGTCCCCGATTGCGCGGCGGCTGATTCCGATGTGATCGGAGGTTTTTGCGGGATTTGAGTGTCTCCTGAAGTGAGGCTGCCCCACAAATCATTGATTTGTTCTTTGTTTCCGTTCAAATGGCATCCAAAGACGGAACCTACCGTGATCATCATTTGATCAGGTACTTGTGGCTCCCCTCGCCTCCCCCTATGTGGGAACCCATCCACGAGATGGCCTTTGGGCAATAAGTAAAAAGCCAACTCTGGAATTCCTGCAATCTATAGAATCACGTTTTGATAGGGGTGATATGGCCAACCTGTTGGAGAAGTCCCTGAGACGAACACGTGTTGTTGTTTTGTTTGTTTTGGCAAGTTCCGAATCCCGTCGTGAGATGTCCATCTCGCCTGAGCCAAGTTCTTAGTGACCGCACCTGGAAGGCGTACATGATAGAGTTGGGGGCCCTGAGCCCCTTTCTGCCCAACTATCCGCAGAAGGGCTTGTGTTGGAGAATTACAAACACGGGTCCAAGCATTCAGGTTAGCCCCAATTGGTACCCCTAGGGTAGGGAAACCTGTCCCTCGCCACACCACCGGCTTCCAACCCACCAATTAATTAGAGGGAAGCTGGTTTGTTGGGTTGTTTTGAAAAGGAACCCTATGGCTGTGGGTCAAAACCAATGGTACCATATTGGGGTAGGTGAATTGAATTCACCACCCATTTTAGAACCTATTTAGTGGTTGGATTGGGATGTTCCCTGTGGGTACGATTTGGATTTTGACCCATGCATGGCCAGATGTAATCCCTGTGGTTTGGGAAAGTATCTCGAGGATGTCTCAAGTGTTTTCCTGGAAGGCGAGGAGCTGCAGCCGGGAGCTTGCTTGCGCGTTTTCGGGCTTCGATGGGTGGTGTGAATTCTCAAAAACGGGGTGGTGCAATTGCAGTGCTCGCCTTGACGTTTCAGTGAACGCATTGGTCATGTGAGTTTGAACATGTTGAAACTTTAGGGGAAGATGGCCCCGTACCCATCGGTGATGTTGTTTCTGTTTTGCTTAGGAGGAGCTCTGTTGTGTGTTTCATTGTGACACCACCTTGAAGGGCGAGATGCGGTTGGTTTGGCGGGGCCAACCACATTGAACCATGAATGATGGCGAATCAAAAAAACACATACGTAGCTGGCTGGAAAGAAAAGGGCACTGATTGAAGGGGATATGTTGCTTCCCGCAGAATCTTGGGCCACAGCCCAAGTGCAATACTGTGGATGGACGAAATCCTGCACCACTTAAGAAACCCTGGAATGATGGTTCCACAGTACATACCAACAAACCATGGTTTCCCATGTTTTTCAGGTGGTGTGAAATGGATTTGTCCATCCACAGTATTCCCCCGAAGATTATCTGCAGAGGAATCGATCCCTGGTGTCAACGACCCGGATTCCCTTTCTGGGCGGTCCAAAATGCGTGCTCAAAATGGATTGCCCTGGTAAATGGAAGCAAAAACTCAAACATGGGCTCCCCTGGGGTTCTATTTGACTCATAATCAAATGGATGCCTTTGGGGAGCCTAAGGATCCCGGACCCACCCGCGGAGGAGGCCTTGGATCGCGTCGATCTCCCGCGGCTTCTTTTTTTTCGGCCTTGGAGGTGCAAGGAAGGGCGAAGTTGGGGAACCTCCATTTGCTTAAGAATATTGTTTTTTGCCCCTTGTTTTTTTTGTTTAAGGAACTCATCACTACTGGAAATAGTTTATTTTTGTCCTGGGGCCTTAAACAAATGGAAGGGAATTGACTCCCCAAATGTAACTACAGCCAGAATCCTGCACTGAGGGAAGCTGGCACTGACTAAAGAGGGCAACCGTGATCTACCAGAAACGAACACTAAAAGAGAATTGTCCACCTGGCTGGTTTTCAGGAATAAGTAAATAATAGGTAGGGTTCGGCCATTTCACCACACGCCAACGCGAGTTTGACAAGCGCCATATTGAGGCTGTGGTGGTGGTGCTGCTGCTGCTGCTGCTGCTGCTGGTGGTGGTGGTGGTGGTGGTGGTGGTGGTTTGGGTGGTGGTTTAGGTGGTGGTGGTGCTGGTGCTGGTGCTGGTGCTGGTGCGGGTGCGGGTGCGGGTGCGGGTGCTGCTGCTGCTGGTGGTGGTGGTGGTGGTGGTGGTGGTGGCGGTGGTGGTGGTGTTGCTGGGGTTGTCAGGTTTTACGAGTAGTGAACTTGCGTTTATGTTCCGGATGTGTACCAACTCAGAAAGCAAGCGCGCCACCAATTTTGCCGCTGCAGCAGTACACAGTGTCTCATACAAATTTGAAGGACCGGCAGGTTGCTAGCGCTTTCATAGCTATGACTCGACCAGCGCGGTTCTGCTTGGCGCTCTTGGTGGCCTCCTCTCAGTTGAGTGTTTGTGAGCGGCGGCAGGCGAGCCCTCCGCCTCGGGCGAAGAGCACCGAGGCAGCTGGCTCCACGCCTGCC